ATAAATTTCATATCCAGAATGGTCTAAAACAAGGAGATGATTCATCGCCACTCCTTTTCACGTTTGCTTTAGAATAAGCCATTAGGAAGGTCCAGGAAAACCAGGTGGGACTGAAATTAATAGGGACACATCAGCTGTTGGTCTATGCCGATGACATAAATCTACTGGGTGATAATATAGATACCATAAAGAAAAACACATAAACTTTAACTGATGCAATTAGGGAGGTTCGTTTAGAAATAAACACAGAAAAAATTAAGTATATGTTGCTGTCTCATCACAAAAATACAGGGCATAATCATGACATAAAGATAAAGAAATAGATGTCTTGAAAATGTGGCACACTTCAGATATTTTGGAAAGACAATAACAAATTAAAACCTGATTCAGGAGGAAATTAAGAGGAGATTGAACTCGTGTAATGCTTGCTACCATTCAGTCCAGAACCTTTTGTCTTCTCGTCTGCTGTCCAAAAACATAAAAATTAGAATATACAAAACTACAATTTTGCCTGTGGTTCTGTATGGATGTGAAACTTGGTCTCTGACATTAAGGGAGGAACATAAACTGAGGCTGTTTGAGAACAGGGTGTTGAGGAGAATATTTGGACCGAAGAGAGATGAAGTGACAGGAGGTTGGAGAAAACTGCATAATGAGAAGCTTCATAACTTGTACTCCTCTCCAAGTATAAATAGAATGATTAGGGCATGTAACACAAATGGGTAAGAAGACGAATGCATATAGGATATTGGTGAGAAAGCCAGAAGGGAAGAGACCACTAGGAAGATGAAGGCATACGTGGGTTGACAATATTAAAATGGATATGAGAGAGATAGGATGGAATGGTATGGATTTGATTGAACTGGCTCAGGATAGGGACCAATGGAGGGCTCTTGTGAACACTGTAATGAACCTTGGGTTCCATAAAATGCTGGGAAATTTTTGAGTAGCTACAGAATTGGCGGCTTCTCCAGAAGGGCTCAGCTCCATGAGCAAGAGTAACACTCATAACTCATGAAAATTTTCTATGCTATGACATCATGTTCTCCTGTAGGTGGATACTCACTTCAACCCTGATGATGGAGACAGCATGTTCCCATGAAACATTAGTATTATCAACATAAGCACTCTCATGTCAAAATCATAAGTGGTCACTGAAAATATTTGCTAAAAAAAACAATAAATGTTATAGTAACAACCTACAAGACTGCTAGACTTGAAAGGATTCTGACAATGGTGTATACTGTACTTCTTTTAGCTTATTTTGGACTTCAACCATCATCGGTATATAAGAGACAAAAAAACCATGACATTTCAGACTGGATCTGTCTCCACCTTCAGGTGGATAGGGAAGGGTAAACCTACTCAGTTGGACCCCTTAGAAAGAGCTAGTCTCAATCACTGGACAAACCCCGATCTGTAGAAACAACCTATGAACAACCGACAACCGGTTCCATCAGTGGGAGGAAAGAATAAAATCACAGTAAAAACATGATAGAAAATTTGTGCCAAACATGCACTTGTCAACAATGTAAAGAAACAGAAGTATGGGTTATATTCCATGAATTCAGTTAAAAATGAAAGTAAAAACTGGTTAATGCATTATCCAATCAATATANAATCTTGGAACATTTTTACTATGTGTGACCACACAGATAACATTTTATTGCACCACAGTGATGCTTGATCCCACATCAGCCTGCAAACAATGGAAGCAGTTGCTGGGATTGAGTAACCGTTTTCTGTACCATCCTCAATACAGTCCCTTATGAAAATCCTCTAGATGTTTGCGACAGTGGTCTACTCATGTAAATACGTAGGTCATACCGAAAGTCATGAGCAACTTTTTTTTTGCATGCAACCTGGGAACAGCAGGGGAAAGAGAGTAGGGTGGTAAGTGGAACCAGCTGTTGTCTTAACCTTGAGTGTCTTGTGACATCAACAGCTTGCATCACATGACCAGTATCACTACTAACAAAACGGCTGACAAAGATATGTCATTTTGCCAGCATGCTGTCATAGAATTTCTTGTGAAAGAGGAAATCCCTGCTGCAGAAATTCACCAGAGACTTCAGCATGCTTATGGAAGTGTGTGCATGGGTGTGAGCAGTGTTCAAAGATGGGTGAAACATTTTAAAGATGGGAACACCAGCATCGAAAATGAGCCTCGGAGCGGTCGTCCTCGAACAGCCTCAACTGAACGCAACAAGGAAAGAGTGCATGAGATCATTCAAGATGACAGGCGTGTAACTGTGGACACAATAGCCCAAAAACTCTGAATAGGGCACAGTGCAGTACAGGAGATGATTGAAAGCTTGGGCTGTAGGAAAGTTTGTGCTCATTGCTCGTTGGGTCCCACAGTTATTGACCGAAGACCACAAAGGTCAGCAAAGAGCCATCACCTCAGAACTGCTGCAGAGATATCAACACAAAGGCGATGATTTTTTGTTCTGTATTGTGACAGGTGACGAAAGCTGGTTTCACCATTTTGAGCCTGAAATGAAACAGCAGAGTATGGAATAGCACCATTTGCATTCTCCATCAAAAAA